TCCATGATCCCAGCTGCACTGCCAAGAGCCGAAATTCCAAATTTATGTCAGTCACAACATTTTTTGATGAATGTGGAACCAAGTCGAAGGTAAGGCTCAGTCATATGCTTAATAATAGGTAACGGTGTGACACCATTACAAAATGCCTCTTATTAACTTTGCAAAAACTCTCCTACCTTTGTTGATACATCATCTACTGTTTGATTTGCTTTCATAGCGCCTGAGTCAGAATAAAATGCGATACATTAATACCCTTCGAAGTGATCCAAAACCAATATTTTCTGGTGCACCAGCGACACGAAAGCCACACAAGGTTGACCTCAAGTTTGTTTGTGACATCACTGGTACAGGGGTAAATGACAACGAATACAACTCGAATAACGGTGTGGAGACCACAAAATTCACTAACTCTGGTAACATGAGGACCTACCTTTCTCTGTACAGCGACAGTTCTTACTCCAGAGTTGTAGCAAATAGATTCCCCAACGTCTCTTTTACTGACGTGCTATACTTTGCCGGACATGCCGAAAACTCAGCCCACCAATTGGAGATCGAGAGCTGCCGTGCTTTTGCTAAAGACAAGACATGCACTAGATACGATAATCCATATGTATTTATTGACAATGGGTAAGTTGTATTTAACGAAATGATTTGCATTAACAATCACCATTATCATTACTTACACCTTTATGTTTGCCAACACTACCGGATCCTGTATTCTTAATAGATATATTACTGTACCAGTCTATATTATGCCACTTACAGCATAACAACGGAATTGTCTTCCAAAAACAAGCCATCCATGAATTGTTTGTACAATAAGTCATATTTTTATGTTTTGTATTTTCTTTTTTTTAAGTTTCTAAAAACTTCACATCAGATTTATATCACAACAAAGCATACCATACTTTATAACAGTTCTATAGCAAAATTTAGGTACTATATATTCTACTGACAATAATGATTGCCACACTGCGTATAGTTTTACGAGAAACCGTTCAGCAAAATCATCAATTCAACGTTATATATAGTACAGAATACACCAGAAATATTTTTATCAGCATATTAACTGGAGTTCGTATTGTAAAAAAACAATAACATTTCT